GTAAATCATAGACCCTTTTTATCTTTATGAGATCAGCAAGCAAACCATGTCACAGTTATGCATCTACAGAAGCTGTATAGTATAATCATTCTAACAGTTTAAGACAGCCAGCATCAGGGAGATTTATTATCTTGGTAGGTTTTCATGTACTGGGATCTCATATTTAACATTGTAGTGAAGCAGTGTGTATGTTTGTGTGTGTGTGTGTGTGTGTGTGTGTGTGTGTGTGTGTATACTCATGCCACAGCACATGTGTGGAAGTCAGAGGACAACTCATGGGAGTCGGCTCTCTCCTTCCACTATGTGAATCGCCGGGATCCAACTTCAGTCAGCAGGATGAGTAGCAGATGCCTTTAACTCATGAGCCATCTTACTATCCCTGAAGTAGCATTTTGAATGGAAGGCTTTGGAATGAGGGATATCCCTGTTTCTATCACCAACCTGTTCCCCCAAAGGGTAGCTCTTGAACTACAGTGAAATGATCTGATCAGGAGATTGAAAGAGCTCTGTCATCTTCTGTGACAGTGTGGAGAAAAAGTCTTGGCACTATTTCAGTAGCCTTTGTTTTTTTTATGGATTTTGGAAAGAGTGTGTGCCTGCTACCCTCACCTTTACTAGAAGTTGAGAGTAACTAAAATAATTTCAAGGCAATCTATTGCCCCAAGGGCAGGTTAATAAAAGATCTGCTTGAAATTGTAGGAGGGAGATCTATGGATGTGGATTGGTTGGAAGGAGTGTGTTCCAACAGTCTTGTCTGCTACAAATCCTTCAACAGCCTCCATAGCTTACAGAACACTCTAGATGTTTGTGGCTATAACTCTGAGATTTCCAGATGGCGTAAGCCTCAAATTTAAAAAGCACCCTGATTTCTGATTGCTTTACCAGGACAGGCCTGTCAGCAGCTGCAGTGTTTCCCAGGCCTGCATAGTTGGGTCACATTGTTAGACTCCCAGCTCCAGTGGGCTTTTGAAGACTTCCTTAAGCCCTTCAGCAGCTTCTGGGGCATGGTCTTTCTCAGCATGGGTGCGAAGAAGAATGTGATATGCTGCTGGGATGATTGTATGCCAGATGACACCGAGGAGGAGAGTACTCTACAAGTCGAATGTCACATCTGGAGGGCCCTGTGCTCACAGTGGTGATAAATGCCAGCCACCAGCTCTGCAGGTTCATACTTCCTGCGTTTACTGAGTCTCTGCTAGGAGCCAAGGACTGCAGTTGCAGTCTGTCTGACTCCCACTTTGCCTTCCAGGCTACCTGCTGGCCTTGATTTTCCCACCTGCTTTCCAATTAGAATACCACTAATAAGAATTCCAGGCAGTTTTCAGCTCCAGATTTGCTGAATAGATTGTCATCAGTGCAGAGAGCCCTGGCTATTCTAAAAATATAGACAGTAGCATGATTGTACTGCAGTTGAAAAGCACCATGTTTCACCACGCCGGATGGGAGATCTGAGCTTTCTTCCCGGTTCTGCCACTGTGTTATTTGGGCCTGGCCGTTTCTTGACCTCAGTATCCTCATCTGTAAATGTGCAGTGGATTTGATGGTGTTTAATGGACCTTGTATCTTTGACATTCTTAGATTGAAGGTGTGTAGAATTTATAAAGAAGCAGTTTGTAAACTGGCCTGTTTAGGAGAGTATGGGGGAAATGCCCTTTCTTTTTCCCTTGGCAGAGAAAATCAGACCATATTTGGATTCCGCCACCATAAAGCAACTAATATTGTGAAGAACTAAAAGCAATCATATTTCAACAGCAAGGTAAAACGCCTGCACGATATTAACACACTTTTCTTCACTCAGCAAGATTTCTCTTTTAATCTGTCACTTGAAATATTATAGCGGCATGTTTCAGCCCATTTAGGTTAAGTAGCTACAAGGATTTTGAAAGTCCTAATGATTCTTATATAGTGACTTCAAGTGCCTTAGACAGACTCCAGCAAGGGCCTGGCTCCTAGATCACTGGCTTTTAAGTGAGCTTAAAGACCCATATGTTAGTACTGCGACAAGCCACAGGTGCCTCACTATGAACTCAGTCATTTTCGTTTGTTTTCTTTTGCTTTTTTGAGACAGGGTGTCTCTGTAGTCTCAGCTGGCCTGGAACTCGCTATGTAGACCAGGCTGGCCTTGATCTCGCAGAGATCTACAGGTTTCTGCCTTCCAAGTGCTGGGATTAAAGGCATTTGCCACCACACTTGGCTGAATTCAGTCATTTTTGAACTAAGGGGAGCAACTAAGGTTTGGAGGCTCAGAAGCTCCTCCTGTGCCACAGAGAAGGCAGAAGACTCGAGGTGTGAGGCCACGTTCCCATTGTTGCCTTTGTAAAGGGTGGTCTCCATGACAACAGGATCAGTGACTCTTTTCTCAACTGCAGAGCACTGGGGTCATAGAGCTTTAGTTATTCAAATTTGAAGTAGCATGCTTCATGCATGAACTAGCATTCTACTTAAATGTAAAATTGACAATTATAGTGGCTCATATCTCTTTCCTCTCCTTTAGGCAACAATAACAGAACTGGTTTCTGTGATTTGTTCATCAAACCTAAATTTTCATATAAGTATGGTCCCCTTCCATTACACTCAATGCAAGAGTAATTGCTACTCTAGAAAAAAGATGGATTCCAGTTTAGCTAACATTTTCAGCAACTACTATATAGTAGTGTGGTAGGCACCAACAAAGAAATTTATAAACATTATTCTTCAAATTCCCCAAATATAAATATGCTCACTCAAAATTTAATCAACGTTATTGATGTTGCTACACAAAAAACTGTAATTTAGTATTTGTTGAATAAAGGAATGAAAACCAAAAAACCACAGACTTGGGGGCTGGAGAGATGGCTCAGCGTTATAAGCACTGGCTGTTCTTGCAGAGGATCTGGGTTCAGTTCCCAGTATCCACACGTCGTGACTAAAAACTGTCTGTAACTTCAGTTCCAGGGGATCTGACACACTCTTGAGTACTGCATAAGTATACTTACATGCAGGCAAAATAAACATAAAATTTAAAAAATATTTAAAAAAATTTAAAAAAAGAAACCACAGAGACATAAGGTCACAAAGGCCTTTGGACAGCATTTGCCAAACTCTCTTATTACAAATGGAGAAATCAATTCCTCAAAGGGTATAGGATGTATCCAAGGCCACACTCACAGTTAATCAGACCCAGTTCCATCCTAAGTGGATTCAGACCACTGTTCCTTTCAGATGCAGTACAAATTGCTTCATGAACTTGCGACATGAGAACATCAAATCTGAATTACATTTCATTGGACATTATGGTGATTTGAATGAGAAATGTCCCCCTTTATGCTCATGAATTTAAATACTTGGTCTCCTGTTGGTGGCATTGTATGTGGGGATGTGTTTAGGAGGTGTGACCTTGCTAGAGGAACTATGTCACTGGGGGCAGGTTTGATAGGCTATAATTCTTGCAGCACTTCTAGTTTGGTTTTTCCTGTTTCCTGAGACAGTTGTGGATGTGATCTCTCAGCCTCCTGCTCTGGCCTCCTCCTGCCACACCTCCCCTGCTATTATGGATTCTCCCTCTGGACTAGTAACCCAAAATAAATGCTTTCTTTCATAAGTTACTTTTGATCATGGTCTTTTATCACAGCAACAAGTAACTAATACAGGTACGTTCTTCTGAGTGTTTTGATGATTGTGGTGTTTGGGATACCTCTCTGAATTAACAATAACACTTGGAGAAGTTTGAAAAGATGTTTATTACAATTTCTCTTTGAAAGACTAAAGTAAAGAGGTAATAAGTAGTGGAAGTTAATGAAATCAGTACTAATGAAGTAGGATTGAGGTGTGGTGATGGCACTAGGTGGTGCCAAAGAGGGTCAAATCAGTCTTTTGTCACTTGTTCCATTATGTATCATCAAGGGTGAGCTCAGTATCAAACAATCCATACACGACCCATATAGGAGCTAAAATACCAGTTCAGAAAGTCACAGATGGAAACTTGTGTTGGATGGTCAGTGACCCCGTAGAAAATTCAGTATAGAAGGATTGATTACAATGAAAAGTTCATTGGTGAGTATGAAACCAGAAATGGGTGACTCGGTTGACCATTTGCTTTTGAGCCTACTGCTCAAAGTGCCTCTCCACTGTGAGATGCCTCTCCATAACATTCATGTTGTGTTGTCTAGGCAACTTGCTGCTTGGCACTCAAGGATGCTGAAGATACACTGTTACATTGTTTCTTGAAAACTTGACTAGTTCTGGCCCAGTGTGGTGGTGCACGCCTTTGATCCCAGCACTCAGGAGGCAGAGGCAGGGGGATCTCTGTGAGTACAAGGCCAGTCTGGTCTACATAGTGAGTTCCAGGCCAGCTGGGGTTAAAGGTAGAGATGGTCTCAAAAAAACAAAACAAAACAAACAAACAAACAAAAAACCCCAAAACAAAAACAAAAACAAAAACAAATTGACTAGTTCTACACTGAAAACTGACCTTTCTGTTAGCTTGTTTTTTCCAGACAGGGGACAATGTATTTTCTTCAATGTCAGCTTTCTTTTTATATTTGCAATGATATACCAGTTTACTTTCTTTGAGCTGTCCCTAGCCAAACCTCCATAATCATACACTACACATTCTTAGGCGTAATCCTGGATGGTGCATTGAAGGAACATTCCCCTTATGATCATAGGCACCTTACTTTATGCGCATGTTATTCAAAATAAATTTGAGACCAAACTAAACGCAAGTCTGAGGTGGTTGAATGTACATAGCTGTGTACAGCATTGAGACAGCAAAATGTGAGGGCTTGAGAGATGGCTCAGCAGTTAGGAACAATGACTGCTCTTGTGGAAGACCCAGGTTCGATTTCCAGCATCAACATGGCAAGTGACAACTGTCAGTAACTCCAGTTCCAGGGGATCTGAGGCCCTCTTCTGACCTCCACAGGCGCTGTATGACACGGGCACATCTACTTGCATGGAGGCAATACACTCATACACATAAAATAAAAATAATAAATAAAATATTGAAAAAAGAAACAGCAGAATGCTCATTTTTCCTTTTAATGTCTGCAGAGAGAATCGGGGCAGAGGGAAACATTGAATGGGGATTGAGAGTTGGAAAGATAAAGGATTCAGAAATAACAATAAAGAAAAAGTAGAACTTTTGGTGAGTTTTAAGCTATCAGCTGCTCCTGTGTGCTTCTGGCCTTTAATGGGCTAGACTAAAGATCCTGGATAAAAACATAATGAACATGGGAGAGGCAAGTTTTGAAACATGGATTGCTGCTAAGAAGGGAGAATCAGGTGAGTTATCGTAGTTGAGAACCATGGTATCTGATGGGCAGCATGGGGAACTTAACTTCATAATTTTATCAAGGGCTGGATCCAGGGAAATGGCCATATTTTCCTACCAAACGATTTCTCTGGTGATTCCACTTTCTAAGCTGCTTGCTCTAGTAGAATACAGATCTTATATGGAATTTTCCCCTCTAAAGAGAAAAATTAAGTGTTTATAGATCGTATATATTCAAATTTAACAAAGAGATGGGAAAACGATTCGTTAGTAAGGAACGCACCCCATTTTCACTCTCTTTCTTTGGAAAGAATGTTTTTCATTTAGTGAGCTTGGTTTTTTCTTTAATCCAGTTGACATAGCGGGAAACCTTGGTGTATACTCCATATTTGCCTTTCAATGCACATTCTTCACCCCAGCTAATGATCCCAGTTAAGAAACTGATTCCTTCGACTTCGGTAACATGGGGTCCCCCACTATCTCCTTCACAAGAATCTCTGCCGCCATCATGGTAGCCAGCACAGAACATGTTATTATAGATGGTGAATGTTGTGGACCGAAGGCATGTGGCTCTGTCAACCAGTGGAACTCTAAGGTACTGAAGAATTGAAGCTTGCCTTCCTTTGTAGAAGACTTTCCCCCAGCCACTCACATAGCCAGTTCCAAATTTGAGGAAGGTGTTTGTGTATTCCCTGTTGGCAACACAAATAGGCGTTACATAGCTGTTTAGTATTAAAGGTTTATCCAGTTCCAGCAAGGCAATATCATGGCTGTACTTATTAATAGTTGCATTGTAGTGATGATGAGGAATAATTTGAATCACGTTTCGCCTTTGCTCTGTGTCTTCCTTTTCTTCAATGTTATATTCACCTATTGAAAATGAATTTCACAGTTATAGTCTTTCACATTGGCAAGTTCCTCACAGGTCTACATTCTACTCGATCTCACTGAGCACTAGCAACCAAGTTGCAAGGATCTTACATGGTTAGTGGGAAAGCCTAAACATCAATAATTGTATCTTACTGAGAGTGTTTTATGGGTTAACCAAAAGAATTATGTGGCATAGAGGGTGGAATAAGGGTTTGAAATTATCATCCTTCTATCACTAGCCCAATTTATTCAGCAACAACCCTGTTAGACCTTAGTACAATATGATATACCCATCACGCATTGATGGTGCAGATGATTATCTATTTTGTTTATTTACCTGCAACAACCTCAATTTTATCACCAGGTTTAACGCAGTGGGCAGCGGTTACAACCCATTTTTCATTAATGATGGAACCTCCACAAAATGCCTCAACTTTACCATTTAAAAGGACCTGTGGAAACAAAATTAAGAATCTTATTGCACAAAATGAATAGGTTTGCTATTTACAGGAATGGGCAAAAAGTTGGCTTCTAGGCGCTGGCAGAAAAGGATGATTTCTGGAAAGTGTCAGCTCTGCAGATGAATTAATGTTTCCAGAGCACAAGCTTAACAGCTGTTTCTGTAACTATCTTGACAGGAATGCAAATTGAGAGATGGGGTTGGGGAACAGTTCCACTTGAGGTGAATCTGAGGAGTGATTTGGGGCCCCTGAGTCCCTTTCCTAGGTGAGCCAGAGTGCCTGTCTGATGGCACAAAGTGATTCATGGGGATGCAGCTGGTATGGTAGGGAACACTAAACTCCCTAGGATGATTAATGAATATTAAGTCTCTTGCCTTGTATAAGGAAATTTCTCTGCTACAGGTCACTCAGAAGAGAAAACTGGAAGCTGGAGAGATAGCTCAGTGTTTAAGAGCACAGGCTGCTCTTCCAAAGGATCTGAGTTCAGTTGCCAGCACCCACATGGCTGCTAACAACCTTCTGTAACTGAAGTTCCAGGGACTCTGATGCCCTCTTGTGGCCTCTGTGGGCATTGCATGCACATCCTGCACTTAATACACATGGAGACAAAACATTCAAACACATAAAATAAAAATAAATCCAAAAAAGAAAGAACAGGGCGTGGTGGTACATGCCTTTAATCTCAGCACTCAGGCAGAGGCAGGCAGATCTCTGATCTCTGTGAGTTGAGGCCAGCCTAGTCTACGTAGCAAGTTCCAGGCCAGTTAGAAAGAAAGAGAAAAATGTTTAATTTTTGACAGGAGTTATCTCAAGTCTTCCAAACTAGAATATTATGAAATAAGACCTACGGCCTTCATACGGGCTATGTTTGTTAGTCATCTATGTGCCAATGAACAGTGGGGCGCATACATTCCTTCTAGTACCTAATAACTGTATTTCTCCTGGCTGGACATGTAGTCTTTGTCTTAACAAGTTTCCTTCATTGTACTTAACTTTCTGACAATATGGACAAAGGTGTTTGGAGTGCTGCATTGAACCTGGGCATTATTAGATTAGAGGCTAACTCATTCTTTCATCTGCGTACTCACTTCATAATCAGAGGCCAATGAGTTGATTTTCACTATATCAATAGCTAGATCAACTTAGAGAATTTCAGTTCCAGTGTAAACAAAGTTCTTCCTTGATCCACATTTTGAAGAATAAAGCCAAGAAGTGTGAACACTAGAGGGCACACTCAACATTCAGAAAATTCTTTGCAGGTGCCCCCACCAGCTTCTGTGGAGATGCCCTCTGCCTAAGGCATGGGTAACCTGTGGCAAAGCCTATTCCTTAACAAGACAGAGGGGACTGTCCATGTCTCTGAGTGTGGGGCAGAGATGGTTCTTGGGGGATGCACTTTTGAAGATTCTTCTGGACCTGAATTCAACATACTGAACAGCTACTATGCCATGGACATGGAAGCCCTAGCTTTGGACCTGGATTCCTATGGGGCTGGACCACCTATTACAGGCCTTTGACTTACTACTCTGCACTCTGTCTTTCAATCTCTTTCTAGCTATTGCTTTATATTTGAAAATAAAATGTAAAACACACAGAAAAAGGCAGGTGTAGCAGTGCATGCCTTTAATCCTAGCACTTAGGAGGCAGAGGCAGCTGGGGCTTCAGGGAGACCCTGTCCAAAAAATACAGAAAAAAACCTCAAACAGTAATAACAACAATAATCATAATGATAATAATAACACCAGCATGTCTACCACCCAGATTTAGCAATCTTCCTAATTAAAAAAATTTAAGCGATAATTTATGGTTAATAATTGTAGTGTTTATATACATTTAGCACTCAAAACACAATGCACTTATGGAATATTACTCTATCTATACATTGATGAGCAAATTAAGGTTTAAAGACACTTGTGCTGGTGAGATGACTTAGTGAGTTAAGGTGCTTGATGCCAAGTCTGCTGACCTGAGTTTGATCCCTAGGACCCACATGGTGGAAGGAGAGAACAAGCTTCTGCAAGTTGGTCTCTGATCTCACCTGTGCTGTGGCACGTGTGCATCCACAGATTAAAACATAGACTGACACATATATGCTTATATACATAAATAAATGTAATAAAAATTAAAAAATTCATATTCACTCCTCTGAGATTAGTTAATAGATTAGTAAGTAGTTTGTAAAGCAGTCTGCTTGGCTCCAATATTTGGGTTTCTGAGCATTCAGAATCACATCAGAGGTGGTCTGAGGGCCAAGTGCAGTGAACTCATCTGAGGTGTCTGTAAAAGCAGCTTTGGGGGCTCATTTAGACATTGAGAATATTTTGTGGGTGGGGCCACAGAAAATGAAACTCTCTACAATATTCTTTTAGCTCTCGTAACTATGTTTGAAAAGTGTTACATGCCTACTGAATCAGAATTTCTATGGTTTGCTAATCTTATGTTTGAAAAGTGCTCACTCTGGGCCTAGAGTGGTGATCCAGGCTTTAAGAGCACTTATCATTCTTCAGAGGATCCAGGTTTGATTCCCAACGCCCACACAGCAGCTCTCTTGCCCTCTTCTTGCCTTCACAGGCACAACACACATAACAATAAATGTACTGGAAATCAAAACACTTCTACAAATTAAAAAAAAAATTGCTCATTCTAGGCTAGGAACATACTTTTTGAGGTCAATGGGAAGGAAAAATATGAGGGTCCTTGTTCCAAGGCTAGGATAAAATGCTGTTGAAGATACTGAAATAGAAAACATTCCTTTTTATTTTAGGCTATGTTTGACAACTTATTTTTTTTAAAGCTACTGATTTTTATTTACTATATATGGGTGTTTTGCCTGCATGTATGTAAGTGCACCACATGTATCCCATACCTGCAGAGGTCAGAAGAGGGCATCAGATCTCCTGGAAGTGGAGTTATGGATGATTGTTAGTCACCATGTGGGTGCTGGGAACTGAATTCAGTTCTTCTGCAAGAGCAGTCAGTGCTCTTAACTCCCGAGCCATCTCTCCAGCCTGATCATTTCCCTTTTAATACGTGTTTAATGCCATGCTCCTGCTGGCATGGGGATATTTACTGGTTGAGTGCAGGACTTCATAGGTGTCCTAGGGTCACACTTTACAGTATGGCATACACACTCTTGAGATTCCCTCCCTGCCAGCCCCATGTCACTGACTGTCCCTAGCAGAGGGAGGGTAAGCCATTCTTCCTTTGATGGCCTACCACAGCCATTGAGGCAGAGAGGTGTTTATCAAACCAGTGCAACTCCATGTCAGGGTATGCATGGTACAGAAAGCAAGGTTGGTAAGAAAATCACTCTCCAAATATACGATAGCATATGCTGTGTTCAGAGACGCTATGAGACTATGTTACTTTTCAAAATGGCCTGGAGCATGTGCACTTGACCTCAATCATCCCTGTGCCTGTGCCAACCCTGCAAGGGAGGGAGGGCAGTAATGGTATCTGGGTAGTGCCAACGAGGAAGTTTGCCTGAGCATCAGGGGTTCTATGAATGGCAGTAGTCACTGGTCAGGTATGGGGAGGGAGAGGCAAGGGGTAGGAAAGTGGGAGGTGGTGAAAGAGTCAACTTCAGTCATCCAAGGGTCCAGATCTCCAGCAAGCGCTCAATTGTCTCATCAGACTACAGTTACAGAGCATAAATGCAAAACACTGAACCCTAGGTATGGGATCTTTCTCAGTACAGAGCACAGCGCAATTGTACTTTTCAAAGGACAAAGTAGTTGACTCTGATTTCAAGTGATTTTTTTTTTGAGAAAGGGTCTCACTGTGTAGCCCTAGCTGCCCTGAAACTCCCCATGTAAACCAAGCTGAGATCCAACTTGCAAAGACCCCCCTGGCTCTCCAAGTGGTTTTTATCATCAAGCAAATTTGAACAACACAGTTCTATGCTGGTTCTGATTGTTACAACCTGATGCATCTGTTTCAGGAAGTAGAACTGACATGGAATGATGGAATATTGTTTCTCTTTTAGGTACTGTTCTGAGGGTACTGAACCTCTTTCAACTTAGTGGGTTGGTTAGGTTAGCCTGAATGGTATCCACAGCTCCTGGGCACATACGGTATGATTCATTCTATCTGACTCTGCTGAAGATTTGCCACCTGGAGAGTCTACTGCTTTCAGTGGATAACTGAGAAATAGAGTTGTGTTCCTTTAAGCCTGAGGAGCATTCTTTGCCAGTCTTTACTTGGTGTTAGAAATTTTAGCAAATACCTTTGCCAAGAAAAAGGACTTATATATATTTGCATTAAAAATATTACAAATGGCATGGTTTTGGAATATTTGCTTGCCCATCTCAGAATCATAGCTATCTAAATATTAGCGACTTGGAAGGTGAGCTGTCTGCTTTGCCAAAGACAGGTTCTTGTAAGAAATCACTTCAGAGTATGATGAGGGAAAATAGGAAAGCATATGTTAAGGAAGAATGAGTTCTGATCTGTCAAAGATTTTCATGTTCACCACAGTCTAGTAGGAGCCTGCTTTCCATCTTTCAGACACATACATACCAGGAACTGAAATTTCATACCAGGAAGGCAGAGGTAGTCAGAACTCTGTGAGTTCAAGGCCAGCCTGGTTTGCATAGAGAATTCCAGGCCATCCAGGGCTACATGTGAGACCCTGTATCAAAAAAGAAAGACATATAATCTGTATTTCTGCTCTTCATGATAACAGTAACCCACAGTTGTTGACCTGTTATCTTTCCAAACTTGAACTCCAGTCTAGCCTTTCTCTTTGAGTTCACTAAAATCCTTATTCTCCCTCACTGCCTGTTCTAAAAAAAATTACTTATTATTTTCATTTCATGTGTATGAGTGTATTGCCTGCACATATGTAAGTGCACTCCTGTTGTGCAATGCTTGTGGAGGTCAGAAGAGGGCATTGGGATCTCTTGGAAATGGAGTTGCAGACAGTGGTTAGCTGCCATCCTCTGCAAGAGCAGCCAGTGTTCTTAATCACTGAACCATCTCTCCAGCACCCC